AAATTTTCTCAGCTGGAGCCTTTTCCTTCACTCTTCCATTTTGTCCTGGCTGCTCTTTTTCTCCTTCTCCTTCCTCCTTTTTTTTTTTTTTTTAAAATCCGTCAGTCACAGACCCTTTCTTCTTTCACTGCCGTCGATTTGAGGGTTAAAAAAAAAGGACTCAGCTGGGTGAGATTTAATGTTATGAATTAAAGTGTGTGTGTTGGGGAAGAGGATGGAATAAAGCCTCTTTCTTTCAGCTACTGAAACCATTAAAGGTTTCTCTTTGGTAATATTGTATTGCCTGGCAATTCCACTTACTGAGTGCTCCTAAGGGCTCAGTTCAGCTGAAGGGACACTGAAAGCAATGATTTTGACTTATTAAACTAACCACTTCTTATTATTTTAAATTGGATTTGCTTTCAGTTTGATACTGTAATTGTATTTAAAACATTTTTATTTTAATATCGACTTCTTCCAGTGCTGTCTTTTCAATTATGATAATTTTACACATTGCTTAGTTCCCCCACCTAGATCTGAAACGTTCATTGCTATTTTGGGAGCCACAGAAATTGTTCAATTTGTACCACATTCATCTACTGTAAGAACACAGGCAAAGCCAAAATAAATCTCTTTTCTCACCATTTTCCTTAAGCTCTTGAACAAAAGCCTGATTCTATGTAGCCCTGATGAGAACAGAGGATTTACCCCAGGAAAACTGTATGAATTTGGCTTAACTTTCCAGTAATAGTACCTGTTTTAGGGGAGTCCCTCTGCACCTCTTTCCTTGCCCTCTAAACAGCTCAGTAGTTAGTGTCCAATCTTAACCACATAAAGAGAAACAGCAGCTGAGAAATGCAGTTTGTTTCAGTATGGTTCCTCACTGTACTCAGAAAGTATGCAATATCTAAGCACAATACTGGAAAGCCTGGAGTAGTGGTAAGGGAATTCGGGAAAGAAAAAAAAAAAAAAAAAAGTGGATTAAAAAAGTGGATTAAAAAAAGTGGATTAAAAATGGAGATCTCAAAGCTTTGAACTCAACCGCCATGAAGTAACTGAGAAGCGCACTGTCTTTTCCTGTAATGAAACTCAAGGGAAAGGTACCCTGAAAACCCTCTTAAGGTGCTCCCTCGACAGTTCCCGATTAATTTTCCTCTCAGAGGCTCTAACTAGAAGAGACAAATGTGAGATCATCCACATCCATTGTGTGAAGAAAGTAAGCTTGCCTTTATGGAAAATCCGATAGAGTTCAATAGCAAATAATTTTTCTAGCGACTTAAATAACTGCCTATGGAATTCAGCAGATCAGTTATATTCCTATTATGGAGCTCCGTAGGGTAGTTAAAAATTATCCTATAGACCCTTCCTGGTGAAATTTGACAAAACATATTGTCGGCAGGTGGAATCAATACGGAGGCTCTAATAGGATTATGTTAATTTACACCAGAGGAGGATCTGGCCCATGTATGTTAGGAGTAATTTGATAATGAATCTCTGTAAGCTTCTGTTAGTTTTAACAAAGTTAAATTCTACATCAGTTTCCCATATTGATCTTCCATACTCAGTTGTTTTGTTTTTTAACAGGAACCTCCACTCCCTTCACCATATGGTCCGGACACTATCCATGGTATTCTCTGCTCATTTCATGATCATGTAACACTCTTCTCTTCTGGGAACTAGATGACACGGTGACATGTGAATGTTGCTCACAGTGCAACATGAATTTCTGCTGATTTTTCTGGCACAGTACAGCAGGGACTGACCAGGGCAGCCTCCTGCATAAAACATCTGCTCCACAGCCTGGCTTGCCTTCCAAAACTCTCCATAGTTGTAAACACCAACCTGCACAGAACTGGCACAGGGAGACTCCCTTTGGTTTCCCAGGCAAATCCTTCGGTCAAGTCCCTGCTATTTCCAGTGAATATTTTGAAATATGCTCATGAATTGTAAATACTTCGGGTGCCCCTGCTGAGTATATCCCAGGTCAGCCTATGGTTGGTTACTCAGGTATCTATGTTTCAGTTGGAAGATGTCTGAACAATGAGATTAAGAAAAGCAAATCCATACATGCTACCCAGAAATGTAAAAATTTGGCATTTCTAGTATGGTCCTTAGTTACAGAATTAATTTTGCAGAGATTCACAAACCATTAAAATCGCATCCAGAGAAGAAACTCATAGACTACTTGTTCTTACTCTGATCTCATTTTATTTGTTTACAGTGGTCTGGAAAATGTCATAATAGTAAACAATGTGCCTGACTCTGCAGGAACAAATTGGGCAAAAAGGCCTATTGTTCTTTTATGTTAAACAAAAGAGAAACAGGTACATGTTGGTTTTTAAGAGTCACCTTTAGCTGCAGTGCAGTATGCCAAAAACAGCTATGTCCTGACTAAAAAACTGCTTGCTTTCAACCACATTTTCAGAGTAAAGATGAGTTTGGTGAAGTCCTCTGAAGTGATTAAAAGAAAGATCTTATTTTGATCTACGTAGGAGTAATTACTTTGCCAGGCATTCAATAATGTTGTCTCAACAAAAATCATATTTACAGTTTGATGAGCTTTCATTGTTGCTGTAAGATTAAAGAAGTAAACAGTTCTTTATATTAAGATGTCTCTGTACTCAGCATTTTATTTCTGTTAATGTGTATCCCCACAGGTAAAGGTATTTCCTACACTGCTGGTAGAAGGAAAAAAGCAGCTATAGCCCCGTCTAGAATTACAGGCTTCAAGTATGTCCTAGACATCAAAACCATCTCATTCCTTCCTTGGGGCAAAAGCCCCCAGTGTTTCTCAGACTGCTGTCAGAAACCTCTCCTCTGCCACTCTCACATGTTGTTTCTTGTCAACATAAAACTCTGCTGTACTTTGAAACTTTGAAAGAGGGGCAAGAATAAACTGAGCTGAATCTAATAATAAATGATGAAGAACGTGTCTCCCAAAGTGTTGCATGGATTATTCTGATGTGAGAAGATAATGACGGGGGACTCACTCAACCACTGCAAGGTGCCTCTGCATGCCTGCCGTACGCCGGCTCTTCAGAACTACACCTAATGGGATGCTTTTCCTACAACCACTTGGCTCCACACAGTTGTAGAGTAGCAAATGTGTTCCGTGTGGGTCTGTGGCACAGTGGTTGGATTCAAACTTCACGCAAACCAGCTAAAGGAGTTTGCTGCTTGCAGTGAAAGAGGTCCGAGTGCTCTTCCCTGACGAGGCCCACATGTTCCACTAATGTCAACACATTTTGTTTGTGATTAGGAAGAAAGGGCAGAGGTAATACTTTCATGTCAACTCAAGTTAAATCTCTGCTAGACACCTTGTGTAAAGAGGAGTTGGAATAGGTGGGAGAACTTCTCTGTCACTTGTGTGATATTTTCGGATAATGCACAGCTCCATGGAGACCTTGACAACAATCCCTTACTGACCAGAGACTGGAAAACCCATGGTGCTCTATCAATGCAGCTGCCAAAAAGCAGCCACTGAGAAAATATGTTCCCATCGGTAAGGGCAATAATTCTCTTCACCAAGCCACTGTTAATAGCCCACAGTTTTTAACTACTCCAGGCAAAAGAGATAAGGTTGTATCTGTGATTTCAGGAAATCTGACAGAATGAAGAACTAAGATTGGTATTAAAATTCCATGGAAACACCCTAACATGACTGGGTGGGAGAGAAAACATGAGGATGTTTTACCAGGTAGAGTACAGAGAGGAAAAGGGTACAAGTTATCAGGTAGAGGAAAGGAGGGTGGTATTTTTAAGCTGTGGAGACACATAAGGTTTTGCAGACTGATTCTAGCAAGCTAAGAGCAGAAGGATCAACAAGGGAACAGAGGGCAGGAGAGCCGGCTTAAGTTCTATCAGAAGGCTAAATGTGTGGCTACAGTGTGTGATTTAAGTGAGGAAATTAGTAGTGCAGGCTTGGAAATTAAACACAGCAGATGAAAGAAAGAAGACACTTTTGTAAAAGAATCTGAGTAGAAACTTCTGGAAACTGATGCCACAGCCAATACCAATGTATGGAAAATTGGATTTTTTTAATGCTTTCTGCTTCTTGCAGAACTTTCATAATATAAAATCTGGTCTGTATTTTTCAAAACCCTAAATATAGGGGACAAAAAATGTTCACTGTCAGAGAGCCCTTTTTGATTAATGAAGAAATGCAAGTGTCAAATAAACTGTTCAGTATTGCGGAAATATTTGTGAAGTATATGTGAAGCGCACAGCAAGGGCTCAATCTAGATCTGCTTACAATTCAAACCCACAACAAAGTCAATGGAAGTTCTGAACACCTCAAAACGCATGTAGTGATTGAGCATAATGCAGTGATTGAATGTCAGCATTTGGTACTGGTGGAAGGGTATTTCCCGCAAACCCAGGCTGTGCTCAGTCTCTGTTCTCATTTCCTGACAGAGAGAGGATGAGATGATCTGGGGCCTCTTTGTGGAAACGGGGCTGGGGTCTTGGCAAATCAAGGTCCATTCATCTGGTTTACCCCCCTGACACATGGTTGGGTACCCAGAAATTATTTGTACTAGCTCAGTTCCCCTAATTGCTTTCAGATCTAGCTTAAGTTTGTTTAACTAAAATTTATCTGTCCCCAGCAATTATTCTCTGGTGCAGAACTCTCTTCTGTTTTAGATTTTCAGGAAAAAGAAAGAAAATATATATTAAGTCTCAGTTCCTTTGGTTAGAAAATTATCCTAAGTATACATTCAGCTTACACTGACTGAAAGCAAAGAAGAAACTTTTCCTCAATACAGATGAATGTCTTCCCTTGTAACCCAACGACTAGAAATCGAACAGGCGCGTGTGTAATTTTAGATCCCAAATCAAACGCCGAACCCAAACCAATTTCTCAGGGTCCTTTCATTATCTGGAAATAAAATGCAGAGAAGCAGCTGTCGTAAACAAGCCATTATTTTAATTTTAACGCCACGCTTTGTGGTCCGAGTTGCGTCTGTCTTTTCATTTAGCTGAAAGGTTTGGAAAAAAAAAAAAGAGGAAAAATTACAAGATGAAAAAGCATAAATCACGTTAAGGCAATCACGCCCGTACACGACCCTCTCCCCGCCGCGATCCGGAGGACGGGGCCGCTGTTTCGGCCCTGCGGGCTTCCACGGGACCGCCCCGCTCCCGCCAGCCCCGGGGCCACGGCGCCGGGAGGCGGCCGCGGGGGGCGCGGAACGATCGCGGCGCAGGGAGGCGGCGGGGGCCGGGCGGGGAGGAGGCGGGGCCGGGGCGGGGCCGGGCGGGGCGCTCCCGCCCTGCGCGATCCAGTCCGGGCTTTGTCTCCGCCTCCGCCGGCGGAGCCGCGTCCCAGGGGCAGGGAGCGGGGGGCCGGGAGCGGGAGCTGGGAGCAGGAGCCGGAGCCGGAGTCAGCCGGAGCCGGAGTCGGAGCCGGGCGGAGCAGCGCAGCGCAGCGCAGCGGCAAGCAGCCGGCGCCCCCAGCCCCATGCCCGGCAGCCCGGGGCTAGGAGCCACCGCGCTTTCCTGGCGGGCGCCGCCGGCCCCGGAGTTTTGCTGAAGCAGCCTTCGCGCCGGGGAGCGCTTTTGGTAGAAAGGGAGCAGGACGAGACCCCGAAATGACTTACCTCCCGCGGCACGGCTGAAGGGGACTTGCTGGAGTGGAACCGTAGTGGAATTTGGGTTTGGAGAGGAGTTGCTAACGCTTTTTTATTATTATTATTATTATTTTTCCCCGTTCTCTCCCCTCTTTTCGCCCATCATTGGAAATGAACAAATTGCATTTGCAATTCAGAAAGTAGAAATACTAAATACTCCGCCCGTCCCCCGCGAAGCACACATGTAGTAATGACAAAGGATTGCAAAGGAGAGAGTGGCTCCAGTTTCCCAGAGAGATCCCCTTAAATGGATTACTAAATGGGACACTACATCAGCTAGTTCTGTCCTCTAGCTGCCTAGATACATGCACCGACAAGGTACAGTACTCCCCTGTCCGCGTCCGTATCCGACGTTTTGGGGTCGCGGGGAGAGGAAGGCTCAGGGCTCGCCCCGGGAGCAGTGCGGGGTGCGAGGCCGGCGGCTGCCTTCTGCCTCGGCAGCGATCGCGACGCCGAGGGGAGGAGGAGGAGAGCCGCCTGCAAGTGCACACACTGCGCTCGCCGCTGCCACTTTCCAGGCATCTCGTGGCTTCCCTTTTCTTCTCTCTCTCTTTTTTTTTTTTTTTTTTCCTCTCTTCTTTTTCCTCTTCCCCCACCCTCCCACCACGGCTGCTTACCGTGCTAGCGTCCGTCCCGGCCCCGCTGGCACGGCTTGCATGCGCGGTGCCCGGACTCCCCTCCGCATACCCCGGCTGCCAGCCCCGAGCCCTGCTCGCCGGCCGGGGGGCTGTGGGGGGCCGGGGGGAGGTGGGCTCTTTGTTAGAGGCACGGTGCAGGCGCTCCGCGCAGAGGCGTAACCCCGCGCACATCTCATCGGTGCGGGGTAGTTGGGCTTCGGCGGCGTGCCTCGGTTTTATTTATTATTAGCGTTATTAATTGTCGGGCTGGGGCTGCGTGCTGGGGTGGGGGGAAGAGGCCGACAACCCAGGAAACTTCGGTTTTCCCCTGGTGCTGCCGAGGGCTTTGTTCGCGAGCATGGGCTGAGGCCGCGGGCTCCCCTCGCCGCTGGCCTCCATCTCCCGGCCCCCTCCACCGCCGGCAGGGGCTGCCCGGGCGCCGCTTGGGGGAGAAGGGTGGCTCCGGGGCAGGGTCCATCCCCGCCCCCTTCCCCGGGGTGCTGCCAGCCTCTCCTCTCCTCTCTTCTCGTCTCTCCCGCGGGCCGAAGTCTCTGTCAGCCGCTCCTCCGCGGGGCAAGCCCCGCTCCTCGCCCTCCGCCCTTCCCCTGCCGCTCCTTGGTCCTCTCGCCTGCTGTCTGTCCCCCCCCTCTTCCTCCCGGGGGGAGAACCGGGGAGCGGCGGAGAAAGTTTTTCTAAGGGGGAAGCACCGGGACGGCTGGCACAAAGGAGCTGCCGCCCGGCCTGGGGGGAGCGACACGGCGCATCGCCCCCGCCGGAGACCCGCCGGTGCCGAGGTGGGCGACGAGGGGTGGGCTTCGCCCCCCGCCCCGTCCACGCACGGGCAGGGCTCAGCTCCCCTCTGAGGGCGAGGCTCGTTGGGAGCCCACTGATCCCCCCCTCTTTGGGCGCCGCTGCTGCTGCTGTCGGGGGGCGTCCCTCGGGGGGGCGGCGAAGGGTCAGCGCCGCCCCGGTGTCCGCCGACGGGGTGGGCGGCGGAAAGTTTGCGTCTCCTCCACGCGTGAAGAAACTACCTGCTCCTTGAGAGGGCTCGGCCGTCCCACCGCCCTTCCTGCTCAGGGAGGAGTCTCCCGGGAGTGGCTCCGGGCGGCGAGCGGGAGGGGGGCTGGCGGAGAAGCGGGGCTGAGCCTGGAGCCCGGTCAGCTGCAGCGGAGATGCTCTTCTGCCCGCCGCCACCGACTCGGTCCTGCCTGGCTCTTCCCGGGGTGAGTCGCGAGGCGGCAGCCGCTGGGTTTTCCTCGGGAGGGTGGCTCTGCCTTCCCTAACCTTGGCCGCTTCGTCGGAGGGAGGTTTGTTCTCCTTTTCCTCTCCTGAGCTAATCGCTGCTTTCGAAGTTTGTAAACCAGCGCGCTTCCGCCAGCGCCTTTGCAGCACGGGGCTTTAGTTTCTGTACTCGGATTTTTATTTTTTTTTATTTATTTTTTTTTTTTTTCACTAATAGACCTGCAGAGGTAGAGGCTGTAGTCAGCTCTGCAATAAATTTTAACAGGCGCTGATTCCTGACTCTGCAAGGTGAACGCTTGATCCTACAAAGGGGCACACGCGGATTGCAGGTGTTGTAAATAATGAATCTCCACAACCATTTTCTGACACAGGGCTGCGTGCAGTAGCTCATCGTTTGACACAGATTCGGCTAACTTTTGCTTCTTGTCCTCCAGCACCCGTATTAATTATTAAGCTAACCTCAAAAATAGCGGAGAAAACCATGCCTCAAGCTACTCTGTCTTTGAAAAAATTATTTCAATGACCGCGTTTGGTTTGCATTCATTGAATGTGTATGTAATTCAGTGAGGTATTCTTGTGCCAGTAAGCTTACTTGGCGGGTAAATCCTTTGGCATCAACGACCGGCAGAGTCAGGCTCTTTTAATTGCAGAACTTGTGGAGGTTTTGAGGAGTCAGTGGCACCTCTCTGAGAGTAAGATTTATACAACTGTTATCACGTTCGGGGCTTCCTTTGCTATTTGATTTTAGACCAAAAAAGCAAAATGATCTTGCTCCAGTTAACTTCTCTGGTGGTTTTTTTTTTTTTTTTTTTTTTTTTTTTTTTTTTATGAGACTAATCTAGTGTATTGTGAAGAAAATTGGGTCTACTCCAGCAAACCCTTTTCTTCACGGAATTGCCTCATACGTGTTTGAAAGGAAATACTAGCTTCAGTAAGATCGGGAAGGTTCGTCACTCTTAGAAAAGTACAGTTGCCAAAGCGTTTCACTGTCTAGGGTATAATTTTGTCTAAAAGGATCCTGTTTTTAATGCGGTAGCTCCTCGTAAGATATATTCCAAACAGAAAATACACTAACTCTCTTTAAAGCCAAACAATTTCTTATGCACGAAAATGTTGATCACAGTTCACCACTACTCTTCATTGTATGAAATCTCTGGCTTTCATGCAAGTTTAGCTCAGCAGCAGAATGCTCACATGAGGTTTCTGTGTGAATGCAAAATGAATTTTAAAATAGTAATTAATACCATAAAGTATAATTGCTACATTTGCTCTTCCTGTAGTAGGAATCAAATGCTTGAAGCGCGGTTAAGTATTCTGAAGGAAAATGAATTGTATGGTCACAGATGTTCTGTGTATTCTCAATTAGTCTAAAACTATTATTCTTACTTCTAATGGCAAAACCAGCCTTGTCAAATAAGCTTGTACCTCTTGAACCAAAAAAACTGTTGGGCAGTAACATCTACGAGAAACAAGACTAACATCTTCAGCTACTTGAAGGTGGAAGTGAATATTAGCCTTAGTCCCCTCTTTAATGTTTGTAAGTTGAGGAGAACAGTTTCTGCTGTTTGAGAGTGAAGAAAGAGGTAGGTAGGTCAGTTTAAGGATAAGGAATTACCCTCACTATTTTTTTTTTTGTTTTTTTTTGAAGGGGGGGGGGACGGACAGGGGAAGGGTTGGAGGGGAGAAGAAAAAAGGAAAAATCAAATTAATGACCTGTGATAAATCCAGAATAGAACTGTTTGCATTAAAAAGGAAGTAGGTGATTGTGAACTTGCTTGTGCATGTTTTGTGAAGGGAAGGGGAAATTTGTCATCTTGTTTTGAAGAGCCATACATAAATACACATGAAAAGAGTTCACATGGTTTACAGCAGGGGAGACATAAAATGTTTTCGGATTAAATTGACCTGAGCTAATATATGCCTCACATCCAACTTGTTTGCAAGAACACATTGTTATACTTCCCAAACAAATGCTTTGTATATAGTATCTGATTCCCATGCACTATACCAGAGTGCTGAAAACAAACAACAGTGTAAATTCTGGAAAATAACATTCTACACTATTAAGCAGAGCATGTGATAGAGAAAAGTTGAACTTTACTAAAACAGAAGTTTTTGGTAACCTAATTTGATACAGATGCTGTAGTATTTTACCTACTACTATTCATTTATTAAGGTGGTACATCTTTATCCCTTGTCCTTACCAGTCTTACTCACCCATGTAAGCTTTACTCACACAGCTAAGCCTTGCTTGCCTGAGTAATTGGATGAGAATACAAGCAGTTGCTGAAATATTACTCAGGGCCATTTCTTCACGTTTTGGTTTCTCCTGTTCTCTGGTGGGAATCAGTACTTGATGAGGACCTGAAACTGTGGTGCAAGTCCATTTGCTCTGGATCTACCTTCAGTGTTAAGTCAAACCTAGGTCTGAGTCTTCTGGAGCAAGGAGCATTTGATTCAGACCTACAGCAAATTGTGACAAACTTTGCCTTGACAGGGAAACAGAAGAAAGAGAAGAATAAGTGATGTTTTCTGCTGGTGACCATTTCAGCATTTTATCATTGTTAATACTGTGGTCAGGACTACCCTGTGATGGGTGAGGAATACACAGAGATCATGTTAAAAATAAGATATAGCCAGTATTGGAGTCCGGCTCCAACAACATACAGCAGCCAGGAACAGTGTTGAAAGTCAGAAACAAGCAGCTGAGGGGAAACTCATTGCCTGAGAACAAAACCTCTCCATAGGAATATTTTTATTTTGGGCCTGTCACATCAATCACTTGAGTAAGGAACAATGTGGATGTCTGTAGAGCTTCTGAAGGCAGAAATGAACCTCCCCAGTTCACGTGCAAACCTGACAGACCAGAGTTTGTATGCCTTTATTTTCTTTATCTGCTGTCTTCTGAGACAACTAATCCATTAATTCTGGCTGTGGAAATAACTGAATGTTTACATTCATACATGTTAAGGCATCTTTAATTGTCCACAGCAAACAAGGCTTTGGTTTTGGATCTTGACATGGCAAGTATGGCAGAAAAGCTCAAAGACACTGCTTTAGGATTTAAAGGGAAGAGTGCCACCTACTGTGTCATAATTACACATATTGCATGTCCTGCATGTCTTCTGGAGTTCCCAAGCTGCTACCTCGGTTATCCTATTTTAGAAGCTGGGAGATATGAAAGGATTCAAAATTCTTCATGATATGGGAATGAAGAAAAAAAAAAGGCAGGTGTGCACCAGGATATTCAGAAAGTCTTAGGAATGGTTTATTAAAAGATATACATAGATGTATTTGTTGTTTTTGTCACTTCAGACTTTCAAAAGCTGCTAACAGTTAGTAGTGGGGCCACAGAAGATTGGAAATGGGATGAGAGATCTATGCCTGCCAAAAAAAAAAAATAAATCATATTATCAGCTTTCATACACTAGACAAAGGTATATGAGGCTGCCAGACTTATGTCCTCTGAAGTCTAAGTTAAGCTCTACTATAGTTTGAAAGTTTGAAAAAGGCACTTTAAAAAAAAAAAAATAGGCTTCAAAAAAGGAAGGAGAAAATGAGGGGAAAAAAATCCATGAATTAGCTCATAATTCACTGGCAAAAACCTCCTGGTAGTTAACTCTTTCCCAGTGCGGAACTGCAGTTATTTATCAGTGATAAGGAATGGTATACTTTACTCTGTGAATACAGAGACATTTCTATATGGAAGGAATTTTTCCCCAATCCCCAAAGTGTTTCTGTAGTGGATGAAATAGAGATGTAAAATGAAGTAGATAAACCAGCTATTAACAGAACTGCCAGTTGCTGTATCTCTAGAGTGAAGACATATGGTAATTCACTGCATTCAGTGATGACCTTTCCTTTAAAAGTATTGTTAATAATAGGCATTTCTATATAGAGTATTTATAACAGATACTTGAAATTCACATGTCATGGACTACCCCATGCCATTTTTAAAATTTTTTTTTTAGCTACTGACAGAACTGCTAATGAGGAACTTTTCACAGAAATACACTTTTACAACATTCATGCTGTGCTGAAGAGCTTCTGGGGGCAGATGCATAGTATTGCATGTGTGCTGTCTCCACACAGGAAGCCTTTAGCTCCTTCTCCCACACATTTTGTATGTAAAGTTGTGCCATGGCTGTAGGGTCAGTGATAAGGGCTGAGAAAGCATTCCTGTGCTTCTATGATCTCTGTAGCCAATCACCTTTAGTGAAATCTTAATGTTTATAAAAGTGGAGAGAAATTAACTCTATTGTATCATTTCACTTTAGTCTGAAATCATCTAGTGGATGGGGACTATAATGGTGACATTTTTACTGGAGATAACAGTGGAAGTTTGATTATGTGCTTAAAAAAGGTATTTCTAACCTCTCATCAATTTTGCAATGACCCTGACAGACTCATGGGGCCTTCTAGTAATGAAAATGCATAGAGTATATAATAGATATGGTAGGATGTTCCAGTTCAGCAGATGGAAAAAGTACTCTCTTATATGAATCCCCAACACAATGGGAAAAATCTGTGTCCAAATATATTCCTGACTGCAGCAAACATTATTTCTACTTTCTTATCTCCAGCTGCTTGGCTTCATTCAGGTGTTCTGCATATTGAGTATTTTTACATAAGACTTTGATACTCAAATGGGAAATCTGCCGTGTTGGTTCCTTCACCATTGTTAGTGAACGTTTATCCATTACTTGCACTTGCACTCAAGGCAGCCATTCATTGAAATGTTAATGAGAATTTGAACAGTTTCTAGTTCTGTAGAATATTTCCTTTTAGAAGAAAAATAATACTGTTTTGTTGATGCCTTTCAAAATTTACTTTTTATTGGTAGATTGAGGTGGATTCTATGCTAATTCCTTTTGCATTCCTGAATTATGGCCTAGCTAGGCACTGTCGCTGGGATCTTCATCTATTAATCATGGGAGCTGCTTTCTTATTCGGTTGCCATAGTTTCAGGCCTCAGATAGTGTTGGGGTGCCTTGGGAAAGGCTTGAGATATACTCGGACTTGCAAGCCTTGCAGTTATTTTGGCAGTGGTAGCGCTCTGAAGGAACAGAGAACAGCATCCAGCATTATTCAGAGTTGGATTAAAAGAGGAAACTTCTGGATATGTCTCTCTGGACCTTGTTATGTGAACATCCAGCTGATATTTACTCCCAAGATTTGCTTTTTGTTTTGTCTTTCTGGTCAAATTGTATACTTCAGAGACTAATGGCTACCTTTATCCACTTCAAGAGCAAGAAAGGCTTTTCATTAGTTCTGCTGACAAATGGTTGAGTAAATTAGGGGAGTTAGGGTTTCCTAAGCAATCCAGGTAATTTGTTTTATATTCTCTTTTACCCTAGCTACATAAAAAATGACATCAAGTTTGTGACTGCATTACCATTGTTACCTTAAATTTAATAAAATTACAATAAATACTCTTCTGTTAGCCGCAGAACAGCTTGAATTACAAAGTAGCAAAAGGGAAATAAACTTTTGCTACTAGTGTTCTTTCAGCATTGTGTTGATATTGGCTGTATTTTTTTTTAAATTATGTTTCAATATCTGTTCACAAATTTTGCATTAAAACATGAATACTTTTTGAAATGCAAAGCTGTTAG